ATATTAAATTATGCATATAAATAATATATAGTGAGGCACGAAAATATTTGTATAATAAGAATGTGGAAACAAAAAAAACTATATTTTCTATAATACAGTTCCTTGTTATCTTTTCTGCCTATTTCATAGATGATTATATCTTTTCTGAATTTAACTCTATATTTGATCTTATATACATTTTTTGGTCATCATATAATTGGGAAATATATTTGATTTGTTCAATAGTATAACACAATTTCAATTATTCATATTTAGATAGTTTTGAACAAATTAACATTATAGAAAATATAGTACTTTTTATTTTCATATCAGGAAATTTTCAATATTAAAGATATAAAAGCACGTTTAAAATATTCATTAAGTGGTTTTATAACATGAATGACGTGCATAAGTAATTTTAGTGATAAAATTTTAATATTAAAATATCTAATTTTTTAAATGTTTTTGCAAGATTGACTTTAATACTTCATTCATCTCATGAAATCATTTAACTTTTATCTTACACATTTATTCTATAACTTAATTATTTACAAGTGCCTTTCTCCTTTTTTATAAAGAAAATGTTCCTTGTATATACTTTTTAGGTTGTCACTTTTTATTTGAAGTAACAAATAAATATCATAGCAGTTCATGTACACAAGTTTATTATCAAATTGGCATGGAATCAATAGAATCAAATATGTTACTAGAACTTTTAGCACAGATTTTATCAGAACCTTGTTTTACTACATTAAGAACTAAAGAACAATTAGGATATATAGTATTTAGCGGTGTTCGAAAAACAAATGGTACACAAGGTTTAAGAATTATAGTTCAAAGTGACAAACATCCTAAATATGTTGAACAGAGAATTAATATATTTTTGAGCTCTATGTTGGTTAGTAATTGAATTTTAAACGTTATTACATAAATTTATTTCTAAAACTTGTACTTAAATTTAAATTATTTCAGCAATATATATCTTCTATCACCGAAGAAGAATTTAATGCCCATAAAGAAGCATTGGCTATACGACGCCTTGAAAAACCTAAAAAAATGACTACTTTATCTACTGTCTTCTGGAATGAGATTGCAACGCAACAGTACAACTTCGATCGAGCCAATATTGAAGTTGCATATTTGAGAACTTTAATAAAAGAACAAATACTAAAGTTTTATAAAGTATGCATATAATAATTATATTATTTAAATATTAATATCTACTACATTAAAGTATTTTGTTTATAGGATATGCTTCAAAATGATATTCAACACAAATTATCAGTGCATGTACTTTCTACAATAAAAGATTCGAAATCAGAAAATGAAAATGCCATAGAACCTAACGAAAATATTCAGTTAGACGAGACAAATACAATTGAATATAAAAAGATAGACGATGTTCTGTCATTTAAAATTAGTCAGTGTTTGTATCCATTACTAAAGCCATTCAATGATATACCAAGAAAGGGAGTCCATTCATCAAAATTGTGAAGCGCTAATAATAATTGTGAATATGTTTTTTAACTATGCATAGATTGTAGATTGAATATCTCGAAAATGTATACATCTAACACTACTATATCACAAAAATTATAAAATACTGGTGAACAAAAGTGTCATTTTACTAAATTCCTAACAAGATTCCATAACTCATATTTTATTTATTTTAAAGTATATTATTTTAAAAGCGGATACTTATACGTGAGTACTTAATAGATTGAGAAATTTGAATTACAACTCTTAATTATATCATTGTGCATTTAAATTTTTTAGTATTAAAAAATTTGGTAAATGTAAATATAAAGAGGAACTCATATCAATATTATATATGATAATTAAAATAAACGAATTGCAGTTATCTTAGAACAAAGTACATGCGCTTCAAGGTACACCCGTCGCATTCAAGCGTAGCGCATTTTCGTTATTTCAACAGAAATGCGTGATAAATTATGCACTTTCAGGCATGTAGAATGTGGAATGGACCTTTATCTATATTCTGCAATTAGTTAGGTAGCTGTAAGTTTTGTGGTTTATTAAATATTAGCAATTGTTTATAACACTTGACTATACGCAAGTACGACGAATAGGTGACTCTCCCATATAATGTTTAATAACTCTTCAACTAAACCGAATATGTTAATAAAAATTACATGACAATGTAGCCAAAGGAGTTAACTTTTCAAATACATCTACTTGACTCTACAAGAATTTAGTACAAAGCTGTGAAATTATTGAAAAACCGTAATGGTACGCAGTATCGTTCCCAACTTCGCGTACTAAAATTGTTAACAACTAATTATTGAAAGGGTTTAGAGCACTAAAATCGATATGAGAAAGTTGTTAAAAGTCCACACTTCATTACTCGATTCTAAAAGTTCACCAAATCATCGTAATTATTTAGTTATTAATAATTATTCCCTGACCGACTTGATTAGCCGTTGAGAGACGGACAATGGCGGCCCGCCAGCCAATAGGAAACGTTTTCTCTCTGTCCTTCTCGCACACTAGTGCTTTCCTTGTCTAATACCTCTGTTTATATTCTGTGTTCCTATTAGAAAATCGTAGTTCGCGTCACCCGACGCGAGATGGCGTTAGTTCTGCTCGCCATTTTTTTTCTGTCCTTGTCTATCCCTGTTGCTTTCCTTGTCTAACACACGGTATTATCGCCATCCTTGTCTATCCCTATATCTTTCTTTGTCTAACTCATTTCTCCAGTATCATGCTCTTCAAGATTCTCCCTACCCTCCTCCCATCAAGATCATTTGGTATTTGTCATTTTGTACATAATGTAGAAGACAAAATTTCGAATCTTAGGATGAATCCGAATAGATTCAGTCACACACGTTTGCATTTTGGTATCCAAGGGTATATTGACTATACATTAACAATGTACACACTACCAATATCGATCGTTTTGCGCGATGCAGTTCTTAAAATAACCGTTCTTACATGTTGAATGCGCTTCATAACCAGTAGTTCTGGAAGACGTCGGTATTTCAGATCATGTGACAAAACATCCCGTAAGATCTACCTTTTCTTGGTAGATACTTGATAGGAAAGTATTGGTCTACCCTATATCTCGTCTGTGGCTATAATCTTATTTTATGTTGAACCGGTAACGTTGGAAGCGACACGAAAATGGTAACGGCACTCAATGCCCTCCTGACGTGACAACAAAATGCACTCGTGCCTCATCAGTGGTGATAGTGCAAACGAGTTAATAATATTCTACTAACCTAATATACATATTATGATAGTATCTTGCAGAATCTATTACACTTTATTTTCCTTTCTTCGCGACCGCATAACAATACTTGTTCATTTAAGAATAACGAACATTTAAGATAACGAGTATTTAAATCAGATAAAAATTTCCGTTATTTGAAAATCGAATAGTACACAAACTCGGTTTCTATCTGTCAGTATAAAAATATTAAAGGAAATCTTACATATAAGAATATTAACGAGTGTCTGGTCTGTATATCGCGTGCATAAATGTATACCACATAATGCATAATATAAAAGAAATGAAACCTTATGCGAAATATCGAAACTAATTAAGAACATGAACAGAAGGTACTTATAATAAATGAATTAAATATATTATGTACATAATAACTGTTATCTGTTATGATAGGCAGTCGAAAAAGAATAACAAGAGCACGTGAAAATGTGTTTCGTTTAGAAGTGTAGAACGCTGCAACAGGTAAGAGCACTGTAATACCCTTTCCGTCACGTAGTACGAAGAATCCACGGATATACGTGGACGTTCTTGTAATTGGGTTCGAGCAAATAAGCAATTACTATATTTTGCCTTGGCAAATATTATAATAACGGGCTAGAGGGGTTAACCAGGTTATCTGTAATATGATCATCGGTTCAGGCGTTTTAAAGAGCGCCAAAACCGGCACCAGGCTGCTGTTCGTTTTTGTTTCTTTTAGGCTGCTTACTCAAAGGAGTTTCGTTAATATCTTCATAAAACTAATGTAAAACTAGTTTTCGTTACTTTATTTCGAATACACTTTATATTTTCTCAACAGTATGAAAATTACGAGGAGAATTTTCACTTTCATTTAAATATGCTTAGAAAAATAGGTTAGGTAGAGGTTAGGTTAGGTAAATAAACGAGGCTTCACGTATTATTACAAAAATAATTCATTTGTACGATACTTATTTGTTTGTTTTTTATTAAATATACATTTATATTTTTTCAATGTGCTTCCATTAACGTAAATTTACGTCTGTAAACATGAAAGACCGTGATATGTATTACGAGTTGACGAATAGTTTCTACACTCTTGAAACGTCAGATTTCTATGCAATTTGTTACATTTAGAGAATTACAGGTGTATAATTGAAAACTGAAAGATAGAATACACACGTGCTATCTTTTTGTCCACGAGTGTATATAAAATATATTATTTTCAAACAAACCGGAAGTTATGACTGATGCCACACTAATGGGACTTTAATGTCATTTTAGGTTTTCCACTTTGTTTTGGTTTCCTGTCGGCATTTTATTTTAGACGTTCGGTTCGCTTGCCAATTTTTCTTCTTTTTGGTTCAGTCACGTATTGTTCTGTATCTTCGAAATTTTTTAATAACATTGTTATTAGTATTCTCTTCAGCAAAAGTTTATACTACATTAAACAATAATACGTTTAATATTATGCACTATTCGTTACCTTATCCTTCTTTTTTTTTTTCTGTATTCTTTATTATCTTATTTGTTTTCAAATCAACTTTCAAGTTTATCGAAAGAAAAAAATGATCACGAAAAATATATAATAGTCTTGGAACTTATCGCGAGGAAGGAACTTCGAACGATTGCTCTTTCAGGACATTCGCCCGAGTAATTTTACTTCCTTTGTCACGATATTGTACGAGTTCTTTCAAGCCTTATAATACACGAAAATAGAAAATCCAAAATATTTCATCCTCGCGCTGTCTCGATAATCGTATTTTCTGTGGTTATTTTAATAAATTTTTATATTCTGTCGTATAAATGAACCCCTTAACATATGATTTCTTTTCTCACTAAACATCTAAGCGTCACACATTTTACTGTTTCAGTACTGTATCAGGTAACAAAAGCTAATCTGTCACAGATTATTTACATTTAGCAATCCTCAGTCTTACAAATTCAAACGAAAGTTAGGATTACAATGAATTTCTTTTACCAATACAACTATTTTTGTCTCTCCTTCGCCAGAATCTCTGCCACGAGTCTGACAGGTTGCTATAGGTTAAGGGGTTAACGTATCTTTGAGAAAAAGTAAAAGGTTTGTTAAGAAGTATTTTTCGGATCGTCCAAGAGGTGAAATTTATATCTTTTGTGAAGTAAACAATCTCTTTGTTTCTATATTTCCGGAAGATTTCCAATTTCGCAGTCGTAATTTGTTAATAATTGGATATTGTTTGTACCTAGGGTGAAAAAGATTCCTCTCGCTAGCCAACTGGTCCCAGGTGTGTACACGGGGAGCGTGGCAGACGCGTGCTTCTCCCCTCTTTAACCACTGTTTGCAGCCGAACGCAGTTGGGCTTATTTGCTTTTTCATTCTTTCTATGTATATATATAATACACGTTGTGAGAAATTTTACGTAAGAATATCAAAATGTTTCCGGAAATATTTACGCTACTTTGATGGAAAAATCAAATTTCCTTTTTTTTTTACTATTTCTTTTTTAATTATTTAAACTTTAAATACTTGGTTTTTACGTGAAACGTAAGGATAACAATGTTATTACGCAGAAGGGAATAGTATGAATTTATTCGATAGATGTTTATCGTTTTAAAATGCTCGCCTTAATTTGACTAAAAAGTAAACACTTAAGAAGTGGTAAATGCTTAAGCAAGGTGGTATTTAAATTTGTAAATATTTTCTCGAGTAAATACTTACACAAAGTGGTATTTAAATTTGAAATATTTTTTCTCAAATAAATGCTCAAGCAAGACGGTATTTAAGTGAATAAATTCAAAGAAAAAGGTGGTATTTAAATTTGCAATATTTTTTCTCGAGTAAATACTCGAGCAAGGTGGTGTTTAAATTTGCAATATCTTTTCTCGACTGGTGTTGTCAAGGATGGTAATGAGTATTATAGGAAGTTGGACAATTAAGAATAAAGAAAACCTCCTCTTGCGAGATTTGCATTTTGGAAAGGTGGCAATTATTTGTAACGGAATAATGCAATTACCACATTGACCCCTTGCACCCTCACATAATTACTTGCAACTTCAGGATTTAAGTGGATAATCATTGGGAATTGGCGAACTGTTCACTGAACGCTGAAATTTGGCAAGCGTCAGAATGTGGGGCGCCAGGTCGTCAATGCGTACCGTATAATTTATGCTGTATACATGTATATAACATCACACGTGTTCGTGGCAAATTTTAACGGTGGATTTTGAATTATTTTCACGATCACGTGTTTCCAATATCGAAAATTCACACTTACACCGATGAATATTTCATTTGTATTATGTTCAAATT